TGTTACCTGTAATCATATTGGTTTTTAGTGACGTTTTGTGAAAGGGTAATTTAAGAAAGTGGAAAACACTGTAAAAGGATATATTCGATTGTCATGGTTAGACAATTGTCGAAGTACGATGCAAAACTGTACTACAATTTCTCTGACAAAAATAAGAGGAAAGCGATATGTGTGATGATTTTAAAAGAAAATTAATTTAAAATAATAATACAAATTATTTAGAAAATTGTGAATAGATTTGATTAATTTTATAAATTTTAATAAGCTTAAAATGTTTAAAAAATTAGAAAGTTTTTAATGTAGCTGATTACTATAGATAATTTAATAAATCTAACTTGCGTGTACAAAATGTCCTAAAATTCGCGAATCAAAATACCACAGTAAAAAAATTCTAAAAAAAATAAGTTCTTACAAAAGTATTTGTCAGTTAACGGAGCAATAGTTTCTGAGGTATAAAACTAGCCAATTACAGATAACGGTTAAACGACTTTTTTGTGAGTCGGCACGTTCGATTATGAACACTATCGAGATACGATACACAGGCAGCCGTTTAATTGTAATCTATAATTAGCCAATTGTAAACTTTTATGTTTCAAAAACTACTGTTTGAAATAAAAAATGGCAAACATGTTTCTAACTTGCTTTTTAGGAATTTTTTTGCTGTGGTATTTTAATTCGCAAATTTCAAGACACCCTATATATTATATCAACTTATAATATTTTTAATATTATTTTAACTTACAGTGTTTGCATCTTTATTTACAAATGATTATATGCATATGTAATTTCTCATTCAATAATTATTAATATCAATATTAATAATATCAATTATTATTGCTAATTAAAGAAAAGAGAAAAGTAACAAACTTTACAAAATGAAACAAATAACACAGTAACATCTGCAGTTATTAAATAAATAAAGAACAACTACAATAAGATTGTATTTAAAATAACAAAATAAAGAAAAATAACATAAAGAGATTACTTATAAATCTCGCAAAATTCAAAGTAGAACATTTAAAATAACATAGGCTATCAGAAGATACAGTAGTTGGTCATGATCACAGCAGATTTCTGAACCATATTAAAGATCGATTAAAATTTCTTGCAACAGAATCGTTTGTTCCATTTTTAAAAAGATTTGCCGGTCTCTTTCAAAGAAAATTAATAAAAGGGAACAGAAAATTACATGCTTTGATCACGTTATGCCAAGATTTTTATTCTATAGACACACACATATATACACACACATATAAATCCGGTAACCACTTATGAAATCGCGAAGGGAGTGACACAATTGTAGCTTTCTGCATGCCATTCGCGCGCTCTAAATCCGTTCTGACTACGCCTACAATAAACCTAAATCAACATAGGCATATGTGTTTATCTATGGGAGATCATAGTACGTATTTTTACGATTTAATTTTAATTTTAAATATAATGTACAAAACACACATAAGTGAAACATTTAATTCTATTATTTAATTCAATTTTACGAACTTTATTCAATTTTAAAACTCATATATATATATATATATATATATAATACAATACTATACAAATCCAAGACAATAGGAATCTGCGCTAACAATTGATATAAATATCTAAATATAAAAGATGTTAACATTATTATAACGCAGATTCCTATTGCCTTGAATTTTTATAGTTATTATATTATATTTTGAATTGAAGGAATCTTTATTTTTATTCTTGTGTTATACATATATATATATTTAAAGTTAAAAATGTAAAAGATTTATAAAGAAACGAACAAAGATTATATCCAAATAAATTAAAACCACATTAAAAATTAATAAGAAAAATTGTAAAGAAGTAAATATAAATAGTAATATAAATATCTTTTATATAGCTAGTTTCTTGATTTTTGCACGAAAAATTTGATTCTTCTCTCAGAACTGCAATATATTTTATACTATAACAATTAAAAATGTATAGATAGACGTAAAGTGATACTGAAATGATCGTTTGCTAATATACCATTAACGTCCCACGATTTAAAGTGTGAGCGATGGGATAAATCCAATGCTTACGAAATTAAAGTCTATGGTGCACCGGAATTGCACGCCGCAACGTTACGACATTTTCACTAATAGTTTGCATAACCAGTCCAGATTATTAGTAGCACTTTCTCGCGATTTATTTGGAAAAATATTATTCAGAAAACATCGTTATCTCTCGTTATCTCTCGTTATCTCTCGTTATGTTGTCGCGCATGATTTCAAGCCGACTGGACTCGACACTAATCAATGATCATTTCCATCGTCCAAGTGTTAGCACTGCAGTACATTATAAATTAGGTCGGTTCACAATCAGCTGGCTTAATTACATAATTTATCATTTTTAATTCCTTTTTTACATTTTCTAAATTATATAAGCGTGTGCTATATATATTTTAATAAGCACCTTAACTTTTTCTGTATGCTGTAAAAACTGGCACTTGATTAATAATAATAAATATTTTGCTTGATATAGCGTTATATTTCGTAATACTATATTATTTGACACGATAATGGCATCTCTTACATTATGGCAATGTAATCTAATATACATATTTTTTTAATTCCATATACAGGAATTATCGCTAAATATTCGTGTACTGATAGAGCGGACTAAACTAAGTCGAAAATCCTGTGTCATTTTGCAATTTTTGCAATAGCTAACAAGATATTAATTACTAAAAATCGCCGAATATTGATTTTCAATAACTTTTTACTATCAACTTTATAGAGAAATAGTAAGAGACAAAAATTGTTTAATTTTTTCTCATAGAACTCTAAGAATTTTTTCAGAATTTTTTATCAACTTTTTAATACTGCATTTTCTTATATTGGCAACTATTTTTACCAATATAAAAAAATGCGATTACAAAATCCTAAAAAAATTCTCAGAATTTAATGAGAAGAAAAACAATTTTTATTACTTATTGTTTTTCTGTAAAGTTAATAGTATCTGAGTAAAAAATTATTGAAAACCGTACTGAAAGAAAAAATTGGCTGCTACAACAAATTAGATGATAAAATATAGCATAGCATTTTTAATTGACTGCAGCAGTCAATTAAAATGCTATGCCATATTTAGTCAATCTTTTTTTTCAATGTAGTATTCAGCGATTTTTAATAATTAATATCTTAACTATTGCAAAAATTGCAAAATAGACTGTAGAGAACTTTTCGACTTTGTTTAATTCGTTCTATCAGCACACGAAATATTTGGCGATCATTCTGGCACCCACTATATATATGTAATATAACATAGATTACATATTTATATATATATATAATTTTATATAACCTCATGCACAAAAAATCTTGAAGAAGATGTTGTAAGTTTAACTTGTAGAAAGAATTTCTGACAGCACTGTTACTTTTTATATAATCGCCTCTACAACTTCGATAAAAAACTTTAACGAATGCAAAAATCGAGAGCATTAAAATTTAAATTGAGACAATTTTAAAATTAATCAAGATCGAAATGTTTTCGATAAAATGTTTTCGGCAAAAATAATTTGAATTATTTCAATTAATATCAACTATTTATAACGTTTTTATTCTACATTAATCTAGCGAGCGGGAATCACGTATAACAATTCCGTTTAGCATTTTATTTCAAAACGGATGTATCTAAATTAAATTAGAAAATCACCGTTAGAGATTGTGAAGGAGATCTTCCCAGAAATGACATTACTCTTGTTATGCATTACGTAACATGTGAACTATTTAAAGCTTACCGGACACGCCGGTTCACCAACAAACGATTGAACGGCCCGAGGCAAGGCCGCAGACTTGTCTCGCCACGGGCTAGAATCTCGTGAATGAACTGTTACATAGTGTTTGCAGATTTCATTCGCTGCAGACGTTATCTCTGCGCGCATCTTTCTTCCCTGAAGAGGATTAATCGATCTCTTCCATTAATTTGCGTATCTAGTAGCTTGTAATTAAGACACATGTCAAAGACACATGACAAAGGAGAACATTGTACGAGAAAGGATAATTATCACAGAAAAAGTCAAATTGATTTCTTTTTCGGAATCACTTTAAGATTCTCATTTCTAAATGATTATTTAACGCTATTCATTGTAGTTAATCGAAATTACCTATCTGTTAAAATCTTTAAACGTTGATTAAGGAAAGTTCGAAATCTGGGACAATTATTCCAAATGCACAACAACGAATACATTTAAACTCCGTTCAATTAAACTCCGTGAATCAGGATTCTTTTTCTGTATCTTTAATTGCAATAGGAATTATTAAGGAGACAGCGGAGAGCGAACCAATTGTATGCATCAATTGTATGATTGAAAAGAAAGCATGCTTTACTTTATGACCGAACGCAAAGTTCGGGAAATAAGAACGTAGAAAGTCGAGTCGGAATAGTTGTAGATACGTAGTTTTACTTTTATCGAATCGGTGTAAACAAGATTCTCATTCATTGTTCGCCTGCAACGCAACGCTTCTACGCGAGCGATAAACCTAAAATGGAACCTAGATCCGATTTCTTACTGAAGATGTTTATAAGTCTAATTGTTGTTTCAAAAATTTATTAATTTATTAATTATTTATTTAGAGCAAAACGTCGTATCGGAAAAATGTACTTCACGGATTGCATGTAAATTATATGTAATGTTAACGAATTTTATAAAACTGTATCAAAGCCAATAATAAATTGTCAGTAAAAATCGCAAATTCTCTATTCCCTCGTAAAGAGGACGCGTGTGCTCGTTTTTGATAACAACTTCGCACACATTGCTGTCGAGTTCTTCACAAAAACGTTGAAGATCTCACAAGATCTAACGGCACGATCTCACTGATCTAGAACGAGCACTCTCGACACTTCGCGATTCCGCACGTATCGTCTTGCGGAAATAATTGAGACCTTTGGGAGGACTGACTCTTCCGGTCTCTTCGGATCTCTTTTCGCTGTTGATTCGCACGCGATGTTTGTTCGCGAAGCATACAGTATCACAGGCACATCGTACTTACGATCCTCATCTCTCTTTCTCTGGATCTCCCCCGAAACTGCGGCGAGTCGGAACGAGCGCGTTCTCGGCGTATCCCCGTGAGCCGTGCACAGGTCGGCCGCCAACTGCAGTTGCACTCTCGTTAAGCGGCGAGTCTAGGAATACCGCGCAACGGTGGTGTACCACCTGCCACGCGGGGGTACGTTCTCGGAGTCGCGGACTCGCGGATGGTAGGGGGCTCCGGAAGAAACGCCTACTACCGTGCGAATGTCCAGAGTAGGTAGTGGAGTTGGTTTTTCCCGTGGTGACGGTGAATCCTAGGTGTCGGAGAGACTCTCACAGCTGCTGCCCGTCTTGGCAGTAGAGGACCGTTTGACTCCCGGTGGGGGCCGATCCTGGGACTTATATATGTCGACGTTGGAGGCCATCCGCGTCTGATTCCCTGTGCCCCCCCCCCTCCCCTTCCCTCCTCGTGCGCCCCCGCCCGAATCATTACCCTTCCAAGGGGCGCTAGCGATGGTCAAGGTGATCCTCGCTAAATAGCGAATAGGAAGTTGTTCGAGAGCAGCTTCGCGAGAAAGGCAAACGTAGCTCTTTACGGATCGCCAGACGACTTGACATTTGATATTTTTCATCTAGTCATGACGAGGAAGCAGGAAGGATACCTTTAAAATGCAATGAAAGTATTTTTATGTATAAGTGTACGAATTATGTCTCGAAATTAAATAACTAAGAATGACTACTTATGTAACCCAACAATGTTAATGTTGAGAAATACGTAACATTAAAAGTATAATAATTTTATTATGAAATTTCGATTATATTTGTAATGCTGATCATATTTTGAGTACGTAACGAAAATTTCAAATTAGAAGATTTCGAATATTATTCAAAACCAAATAATTTTTGAATATATTTCAAAAATTCGAAATACATTAAAAGTCTTGAAAAAATTTTAGACGGTTCAAAAATTTTTCTTTATTAAACATTTTAACGTCAATTTTTCATTTTAGTCCATTTTTCATTTTATACATAAATAGAAATTTTATTTTTAGATATTTTATATATTTGATTCTAAAGGAAGAGACGCTTCGAGACTTTTAAATACAATATTTTTAATCTTAAAGCAAATCGGATCTTTACATAATTGAATTGTTTAAAAACTTTAAAGGGAAGAATTCGCACTCATGAGACAGCATAAGAGAAAAAAAAAGAAAAAAGAAAGAGGAAGGAAGAGACTCACTCAGTGATATAATTGTGGAATAAGAACGAAGGAGAAAATAAAAATGCAAATTATGATTTATCTCGGCTGAGTCACAAGTACTATTTTTTTGCGACAAAGAACTTTTCTCTCGCCGCTCAATCATAGAGACGGCAAATTATCCGGCGTAATCTTCTGTGGCAAAATAATGCATGCAAGTACTTAATACATGTTCCAGACGTTACGTCTCAATGCCTATCGCATCATGCTCTCGATCGGAATCCGGATCTCTATTCCGTGAGTGCGGTATTATGACGTCAACCGGTGTTGCAGAACGTTGTCTCGATATGCAAATATCTTATCTCGAACTACAGAACGCCCTCTCTTTCCTAAAGCGATCAATTACAGGCGCGTCTTTAAATTTTAAAATCGTTATCAAAATATAATATTCTTTTTCTTAGCATGATATTCTTTTAGTCACGAATTCAATCATTAATTTGCAACCGCTGAATTATACGCCTGATATGGTTATTGAGCTTAAATTATTCACCGGATCTAAGAAATAGAGAGTGACAATCGCGCTTATATAATTGCTTGTTAGCATTTACAATATCAATTGATCATACAATCATTATTGTAATACCGTATTTAATTCCAATATAATTGACAGTTTACGAAGATACAGCAATATACTATTCCCTCAAGATACCTTGTAACTTCCGATGTAAAAAAAATTTCCTGTATGACATCCGCACGTGTAATAATTGCGGTAATAGACTGCGCATCCGCGAACGTATTATTAGAAAGGAAAAATTAATCTTATCTTTTTACGTAACTCCGCAAATGTCTTACCTTGAAAAAAAATAACATCTTTATATTGACATACTTTTGATAACAATAGCGATAACAATAATGCGAGGAACGTATAATTCCGAGTATAATTCCATTATTTTACTATCAAATACACATATCAGGAGATCCTAGCTGAAATTTTATATCCCTTTTAAAAGATACTTTTATTTCTTGAGACCATTTAAAAAAGAGTGCGATTGTACTTATGATAATTACAGATTCGAACGAAACGACGTATACCGTACGCAAGACAGCTTACGATTTACTTTACCGGGCAATCAACGTCAAAATCGAACTGCGATTTAATTACTGCCGTTACAAACTACATCAACGCAAACTGTATCTGACCCATTTATCATAGTCGCACTGCGGCAATCGTTTCAAGCAATTCTCGCTGTTCGTGCAATCCGTGCCTCGCGTTGAGAAAGCGCCTGCTACGCAGCATCAACGTGGCTCCCGTCGCGTGACCGGCCGCCGCGGTTTCTTGACCTTCGTTAAAAATGGAATTCTTCACCTTAACCCGTTAATTAACGTGCCTCCAATTAGCCACGCGCGGTATCACGCGCAAGGAGAAACGGAGCAGAATGTCTTCCGATATCCGGCTAATTTCGGTCAACAGTTGCGAGCTGAGGAAAGGTTCGGACCTTGCGACTGACTGCGCGACGACCTCAATCTCCTAAATTCGGTTTAATTAACTAGGCCACTTGTCTGAGAGATATTTCGCACTCAAGCGTGTCGTCATGCCCTTCTTGCCGTGCGTTTCCTCTTTCTCATCGCCTTCCCTTCGTTCTGCAAACGCGATTGTGGCATCTCTGCACTGAAAGAAAGGATTGGCTGAATATAGCATTTTTAATTGATTGCAGCAGCCGATTTTTGGTTTCGTTAGCAATCTGTAAAAATCCTGACATTGCGGATAGGCTAACGCAATCAAAAATTGACTACTGTGATCAAAAATTGTCTGCTACAGTCAATTAAAAATGCTATGCCATATTTTACCACGTAATTTGTTGTAATTAATCTTTTCTTTCGTATGTGATTCTTCGAGGGAAGATTTACGGCACATCGCACCAATTAATTTGCTCACGAGTTCAAATTTATTTGTAGCTTATACACGCGGCTCTCTTACATTTGTTTATTTCAGATTTATAAAGATAAAATACAAAACAAACTTTCGATGTGCAGATGCGCAATAATTTTTTTATTGAAGCAGATATGGACAATTCCTTAATTGCTATAATAAAAAAAGAATTATTACATATGTACATGCATCGACACTCTGACTCGCAAGTCTCATCTTTGCGATCGTTGATTACAATTAATTCAGCTATTATTTTAAGCTGTATTGCTTATGGTAATATTTCATAATTCTGTGAAAACAGATGGCAAGATTGCCCCATTATTCAAACAATAATGGGTTTTATTAGCATTTGTAATTAATGTTGCAGCGAACGTATGAATTGCAGAAAGATAATCTTACAGCTTACAATATCTTATACACTAAAAATAATGCTGTTAATAATACATCATTTTTTTCGGCGTGTACATTAAAGGAAAAGATTTACATGGCTGCTGCAGCAAATTAGATAATAAATATGGCATAGCACTTTTAATTAGCTGCAACAGCCAATTTTTGGTTGTGTTAGTCTATCCGAAATGTTAGTATAAATTTCAATTGGCTATAGCAACCCAAAATTGGCTGCTGCAGCTAATTAAAAATGCTATGCCATAGTTTACGATCTAATTTGCTACAGTAGCCAATCTTTTCTTTCAGTGTATAATTAAAATATTTAAAAAAAAAGAGAGGGCAAAAGGATTATTCTTAAAACTTAACAAACAATTATATTAAAGATAACGGTTATATACTTCGGTTTCAATTGACCTTCGCGGTACATTTTCGAATCCACGATTTCGATTGCTTCCTGACGGTCGATGAAGCGAATTAAATTGGGCCGAAAGAAAAATCCTGATTAAATCGATCGAGGACATGCCAATTACCGTGAACGAAGCATTGTCGTAAAATTGTATAATCAATTACGGGAACGGTAATGATACCTATGAAAGTATAACAAGGCCATTAGTCATTAAACAGAATATAGTTGGAAGAAGCGATAAGAAAAAAAGCAAAATCTGATGTTTATGCGGATGTCATCTGGAGGATGCTACGGCATTGAACGGTCCATTAATTTATTTGACGTCTAACGAGGCTGACAAACAAAGTTGCGATTAGCATTTATGGCTTGAAATAGTTTTTCAGGGTAATGAGCAATGATTTTTTTATATTGCTAATTCTTTTCAATCGTGAATGTATGAATAATCTGATGCAACGCGAACGAATGCAGAAAATCAGAGATATCATCTACACGATTTTACTTGTAGATTGATTGATCACGCTCGACTATGTTTTATAATACAATACACGGAAGCAGAAACGTCATTGCAGTTTAACATTATTAAAAAAAAAAGATTAATTGTTGATAATTACCATAAGAATTATCTCTTGCGTTACAGGATTCGTTATTATCAAAGTAATTTATATACTTGCATTATTTTACTGTATTATTTATCCCGTTAAAATTTTTTTACATACGTTACTTTAATAATGAAAGCGTGATTTCAATTGCTATTAAATTATCGTTGACTCTATAATTAACTAGAAATAAATCATCATTACCTATCTACACGCTGTTGAAAATTGATTTAAATTACAATGATGGATACAAAAATATAAGTGTAATGTAATTTGAAAAGATTTTATCGTCGTATACTAACCATAAAACTTCGCAATTTTTGCAACGCAAATTCAATTCATAAAGGCTTGAACGAACAATAAATACATGATCAAACTATATTAATTAATCAATCAACTTTATCGTTACATTTATAATATAATCATGCCTTCATTAATCTTTAAATCAAGGGTACAAGACTGCTCTATATTCATCAAAGAAAATATAACCTTGCTACCAAGACCAACGCTGATCGTCCCACGGACGATAAATATCTAACTTTGCCTTCTTTCCGATATTTTTACACAATTTTGTCTTGCCAAACCCATTAGTATTATCAGAAGTATGCATAACATACGCATAATTATATAAATTACAGTTACATTAATATAATTGCAAAAATGCAAACTTTGAGTCGACATCGAAATAATGACTCAAAATATTTCGAGGCGCTAGATATAACCGCGCCATGAAAATTTAATCCTTAAAACAATAGAAATTCTACAGGCTCTAATGAATTAAATCAATTAAGAATAAATAATTCTTTGAGAGCCAATGCTGGATTAGTAATTGCAATCAAATTTTA